AGTTACAGAGAACAAAAAACAAGAAGACTGGTTCTTAGAAAATTTGCAGCAAATAAACAGCATCTTGGACACAAAACACAATGCGTTTTAGTCAGTCCAAAACAATCCTAACAATATTAACATACAAAGAAAATATGAAGATGTGAAACAGTCAACTCAAAAAGAGATTAGACAAATTAAAAACAAGTGGTGGACTGACAAGGCAAAACAAATCCAAGGATATGCTGATCAGCACGATCAAAAAAATTTCTTTGAATCTGTCAAGAAAGTCTACGGTATTAGGCCCCGAAAAGCTTCCCCACTAGGATGATAATGACAACTTAATATTAATAAGATACCGAAACCAAATAAAAAAAATGGAAAAAACATTATACAGCCGTTCTAGTTCAATACTCTACAACTGATGACACAGCCATTACCTTAATACTGCAGTATGAGCCAACAATGCCAATGGATAATGATATATCTAAGGAAGAAATTCAAAAAGCAATTATAACAGCCTAAAAAACAACAAAGCTCCAGGTGCCGACCAAATACCACTGGAGATATATAAAGCTCTCGTGAACCAAAACCAAACAATGGAAAACCTAAAATCCTTTTTCAATTTAATTTGGGCAAAGGGCGTAGTCCCTCAAGATTTCCGAGACGCATTTATAGTTAATCTATTCAAGAATAAAGGCAGTGCTGCTGACTGTGGAAACTACAGAGGTATTTCATTGCTCTCTATTGGCGGAAAAATTCTCACAAGGGTTATGGCAACTGGATTGTCAAAATATGTAGACTTCATTCTACCAGAGACACAATGTGGGTTCAGATCAAACAGAGGTACCACAGATCTGATTTTTACCCTTAAACAACTCCAGGAAAAGGCCAAAGAACAGCAGTCACAATTATGTATGGCATTTATAGATTTGGCAAAGGCCTTTGATTCTATGAATTATAACGCGCTTTGGCGTACCGCCAAGGTTCTTAAAGGTATGCAAGAGTCTCCATGAGAAGAGCTGGGCGTTTTATTAGATGGAAAATCCACTGTACGATTCCTAACACAAACAGGAGTCAGGCGAGGGTGTGTACTTGCCCCAGTTCTCTTGAATATTTTTGTCACTGCGCTAGCCATAATGGTAGATACCAAGCTAGAAGTACGAGGTATAGCAATTAAGTACCGATTTGACGTGACGGAAGCCTCTTTAATCTCAAAAGGCTCAGAGCCAAGACTAGATCGAAAAATATCACCGATTTACAGTATGCTGACGATTGCGGTTTGTTGGCTGAGTCATCTGAACAGCTGCAAATAATCCTCGAAACCTACACGTGGGCCTACGAAGCTTTAGGTCTGAAAATAAATATTAACAAAACCAAAATTATGACCACGCCCCCAGTGCAAGAAAACGCAATTATCTATATTCAAGGAAACGCGTTGGAGAACGTAGATCACTTCAACTATCTTGGTAGCATAGTAAACAACAAAAGAAACATTAATGAGGAAGTCCAACATCGCATTAATAGCACCACTGCAGCTTTTTGGAGACTTAGAAACAGAGTTTTTGACCATCATGACCTTGCTATATCCACTAAGGTCGCTGTGTATAGAGCGATTGTTATTCCAGCATTTACATATAGCTGTGAAACCTGGGTGCTATACAGACGACACATCAAAGCTCTAGAGCGCGTTTTCAACAGAGAGAGCTACGTCAGATTATGCACATATAATGGTTTCATAAAATATCAAACATAGAAGTACTCCAAAGAGCTAAGTGAGAAAGCATCTCAGACATTGTTGGACAAGGCCGTCTCAGGTGTGCTCGCATGCCCGAAAATCGTCTACCCAAATGTGTTCTCTAGGGCGAGCTTGCGGAAGGCCGACGCAAACAGAGGGTGGTAAATTGAAGCGTTTTAAGGATATCTTCCACAACAATCTGAAATCTATTAACATTCAAGGTAATTGGGAAGATCTTGCGCAGGACCGTAACGAATGGAGGAGAGTTGTTGCTACATTCACAGAAGACACACCTGTGTCCTGTTATTCAAAGTCTATTGCAAAGTCTTTGTGTGTTTAAGGATAATGTTAAGTCTAGTGTTAGGTCTAGTGTTGTTTCTGATGTTGAATTTAGTTTAAAGTCCAACCCAGAACCCATTCTTCAAAAAACCTATATAACCAGATCAGGTCGCACCACAAAACCTGTACAAAAATTAAATTTGGCAAATCCTTAAGAGGAAGGATGTATTATTAAGTAGAATAGGTCATTGGTTTAGGTTGTCTAGTGCATATTTTACTGGTGATTCTGTGATTGACAGTCTTTGTCAAGATATTGTCAACCGAGTTGTGCTAATTTTGGTTGTCTCTTGTAGTCCTTTAAAATAAAGCTTTAAAGACTCAAGCTTGGCATTATTTATTATTTCCAAATAATAATACAGAAAATCTTATGGAGAATTGATAATAACACACCAATTGATGAATATTGCTATGGAACGACAGCAGCACCATACTTAGCTATTAAGGTGCTGACACTATAGAATAAGCTCTATCACTACTAGACGAACTCATCGAAATGTTTCAACGATGAAGTTTCACGTTGCGGAAATGGCCCAGCAACAAGCCAGGATTACTACAGAAACCAAACGAACTTAAAGATGAATCAGCCGTGGAAATTACTGAAGATGACATGAGAAAGATAGGTATCTACTGGGCTCCGTATAATGACACATTTAGATTCAAAATTGAAATATCGACCAATGATAACATTACTGAAAGGAGCATTCTTTCAGAGGTTGCTAAGCTATTCGACTCACTAGGATGGTTATCTCCAATAATCATCAGGGCGTAGCTCCCTATGCAAGAATTTTGACCGCAAGAGCTAAGTTCTATGAACGTTCAAGATGCAATTTATCGATAAGACGACCTCTGTCAGCAAGTGAAATCAATGGAAATGAACACACAATGCATGTAACCATTGTATATGTAGCTGATCCATCCATCATTTAAAAGAAAAAGAAGAAGAATTTCAATGTATACAAAACGGACTACAAGGTGTGGTGTCCAAACGTGAAAAAAGAGGAGTTTTGGGAAAACTATTAACCGCAGTATTCGGACTAAACGATGAGATCTACAGTAGGGAGCATAAAAAGCGGGACACCCGACTGACAGAGCTTGTCATTTTTCGCTATTTTGGGTAAATCAGTCTTTTCTCTACAATAAATTTTTTGTCAAATATGACAATCCCTGTCATTGCTATAGGTATAACTGATGAGCTCGTTTTACAATAGGAAAAAACAGGTGTCCCACTTTGTATGCTCACGACTGTACATGAATATTGACGAATTAGACAAAAACCAGAAGGAGCTTATCAAGGCATCCAAACACCAAACCAAATTCATGCTACATGCTCTATCCATTTTCAATGACACCAAATCCAGAATCAACAATCAACTCCAGAGTTTCCGGGAAAAAATCAATGAAGGCATTGCTTCGATAAATGAAATGAAAATATGGGTATCGAACGGTGGATGCAAATAAACTAACAATTCACGTTCTCAGTTCGTATCAAGTTGTCTCCAATTACATGGATGAACTTCTGGATTATTATAGACGATTGTTAGATGTTCACTACCATAAAGACCACCTATATGATGTAATATCTCCGACCCATGTTGAACAGATAATAGCATCTGCATTAGAAAAGATTTTGTCCAATATCGAGATAATATTTTATCCTGTGCTCTGTGCTCCAGATCAAAGTGGAACACAGTGAAGAATTTATCCACGTCTAAGGATATTTTGTGGTGATAGAACACAACGAATTTATGCTAATCCGATCGACTCCAATTCCACTAGAAACAGAAAAAGAGGCTTACTGGATCCTGGATATTCCAAACGAAGTATTAGCAATAGATTATGATTCACATGACGAAATGTTTTCGTATGTTCACCAAATATATCAAAGAGAAGAAAATACTTCGTGCTAAATTCTACAGCAATCTATAACATCAATATTATGGAAGCAGCTACACACTCCAAACTCGTGGTTAGAAGTTACGCCTGAAAAAACTAAAATTGCCATTATTTGCGATGGAACCCGAGACGATGTGGCACTCAATCAGACAGCTATTATAGAAATAGCTTCAAATTGCCTCATTAAAACTAAGAAGAACATGCTAAATCCGAAAAGGTCAGACACTGTCACTGTCTTAAGAAGCATTCTCCAAACCCATACTACAAAATATATAATTATTCCCAGTTATGCATGCATGCTAATTGACGAAACTGTAATTGATGCATCCAACAAGATCAATGAATTCAGGAATGAAGAAATGAACATGAAACAACAACTTGAAACTACGCATTGGGTAATAGTAAAAACGCACATCCTAGTCACGAGCCTCAGTTCTACATTAGTAACTATAATTGTTGTTATCACATAGTGCTATTCAGGTTCTACAAAGGACGACAGAATAACGGCTCCAATACAAGAAAAAACAGAAACGCGGCAGACATTCTATTAAATATAAATAGAGCTGCCCAGCCTTCCACAGAAGCTATTGTCCTCGAACCAGTATTGCCCTATGACAGCACTGAACACTGATGGCATGGCAATAGAATGCTCAGAATGTCTAAATTCAAAATTTAGTCATAAAAAAACCCTAAATTATGTATATCAAAATCATTACAAAAATTAATTAATTATTAGCGTCCAGGGTACTCCTAGGTCACCAGGAAATATAGGCAATACTACGATCCATACCAGACGCAGCGTCATCAAAAGTTTAATAAGCAAATCTTTCGATGTGAAGCACACAACAGATTTTTGTCAGCGATTAATTCTTTTTAATTAATAACCCAACCTACAAACCACAAACTACCAAGTGTTCTGAGCATCCTCCTAAATTCCAATACAGGAATTTACAAATAGTTTGCCAAAAGGCATAGCTGAACGGTCTCAATCTAGATCAAACTAATAATTTCCACCTTTTGATAATCATTTAATTTTGTTTTTTATCCCTAGTCCATCAGATGGCAATGTCGTCGACATGTTACAACCCGTTCCTCTACGCATGGCTGAACGAAAACTTCAGAAAGGAATTCAAGCAAGTCCTTCCGTGTTTTGACGCTTCTAGTGGCCGAGCCCCGTCCACCAGTAGATTTACCAATTGGAGGTCAGAAAGGACTTGCAATGGTAATGAACCTCACGGTGCGCTATATTATTTCAAAATTTCTATGTTTGGTGTTAGTTGTATTTGTACAAATAACTGTCGTTTGAATAATAGAACAATGAAGGTATTTGCTGACAAACAATACACTCAAAATTACTCAAATACCTACTTTTCGCTGCTAAGAGGATGTGGGTTGTTAAAGCAAAGTGGAATGTCTTTTGCGTCGCGATTAAGGATAAGAGAAGTGGGAGTGGGCTAAATTAGCTACAAAGAATTTAAGCAAATATTTAGAATAATTTGCTTTTGCTTGAGAATTAAATTAACCTGATGATCTTGACTGTGATTCTTAGTATGCCTTGGCATTTCCATTTCACGAATTCTGTCTACTGATCGATCATTTAACAATAATAGCTAGATCTTGGATCTTTTGATTTCATCGATTGCTTCTGACTTCTTCAAGGCATTCTTATATTCTTGCGCTTTGCTGATTTGATGATTAATTTCACTTATTAGGGTTCAATATTCATTTATTTGACGTAAGCTCTAACTTCTCTAGAAAGTTCTCCATCTGGTGTTTTCGGCATTGTCCCGATTATTCTGCATAACTTTTGAACATCACAGCAGAAAAAAACCTATTTTTTGCCCAAAATTTAATTCACACTCTCCATAAATGCCTAATATATTACTTGAAATATAACAATAGAATATTTCGCAAAGTACAATAATTTTAAGCAGCAGAAAATTTCCAAGCTTTCAAATGACACAATTAATCCAAAACAAAACTAGACAACACAGAGCTCCTTTACGTAAAATACAAAGTAATGTTTACTATAAAATTCCTCTATCAAGAACAAGGACATTTTAACCTTGTACGCTAGAGACGCGGGTATTGTTTACCCTAAAACAATAGATGCAAAGTCCTCAAACATTTAAATTGACGTGCAAGTTCCGTGAATAGTTTCGAGTCTAAAGCAAATTGAAACGTGTTCCATAAAGGAATTAGGGTTTCGTTCAGGAAACTACCTGCATGTGTAGGCGCGATAAAAGGATTAGGGGCTGACCTTGGGGCCGTATGCAATAACGAAATTTTGGTTTTCAGGCAACAACGAAACGCAACAAGAAACACTTTTACCGTCGCAAATACATCGGTCATCGTCGATAAAGGAGAAGAAATTGACTCCGTTGCAATTGAAAAATGACAATGTTGAAATGGAGAATATAATGGTAATTATATTACGATTAGACATTCTTAACTTGTTAATTATTATTATTCCAGATAATGAATCCGGCAGTTGAATATGACCCCGCTTTGGAAGTTGTGAGATTGAATTTGATTACCGAGGAGGATCCACCTCCTTATAACGAGACCCACAAGACTACCCCTAGTTCCGAATAAATTGTATTAAGTATTAGGTAAGCGAGTTATTATATTATAGATTGATACATTCAGACACAGCTAGTGCTAGAAGGCACAATTGTCTGCGTATATTGCATTTTTGTGTGTGTATTTGGGTCTTTGAATCTGATGCTGATGAGCTCTGCTATTCTGAGTGGTTGTAACTGTTTCAAAGTTGACTTGTTCATCAATAATCAATTTGAAATTTTCAGTTTCTTATTGTAGCTTGTACTTGATAGCTCTCTCTGACATTTTGCTCGGAAGTTGGGAATTCTGAAGAAACGTTTTGTCAGTTTTCTGAGGCATCTTCAATATCATCTTGCTGGCAATTGACCTGATGCCTTTTTGGATTACTGACCAATTTCGTCTTTCTCCAAGTATAATACCATCCATAAATCATAGCCCTATAAGTTATGCATTTTAATTGGCACAAAAAGTACTTTCCTGAAATTTATATTAGTTGGACAATTAATTGACCCACTTTCCATTTGTTTCAAACTTTACTTAATCGAATTGACAACCTAAACAATCAAACAGCCCCACAGGTAGAGAAAAGTTTAGTCATTAACGGAACGATCCAACGGTAGTGAATGCCAATTACTTCTCTGCGGTATTCGTTAAATCGTTATCTTGTCTGGTTAAAGTTTTAGAAGGCTAAATAGCAAAACGATACACCGATGTAATATTTTTTTCCGAGTGACTGAATTTAAAACGGAAAACTAATCTTAATAATTTCGGCGTTTGTATTCAGTCTCCGCACTTTAGTAGAACATCGAGACGTGCCGTTTCACTAAGCTTAAGTTCAATTAAAATTTACTCTAACTTTAGATGCTCTTTTAAATGGTTGACTAGCCTTAAGTTTGTTTCTATTAAAAGTTTCGGAATTGGAGCGTTAAATACGACGAAAAGTTGAGCTGGGTATTTAAATTATTAATCCACTTTATCGCATTAAAACATTTTAATGTATACACTCTAAAACAGCTAATGACTCATCGTTGCATCTCGAGGAGAGACACTGGCAACTAGAAACAATGTCTCTCTAATTCAAACTTAGTGTATCTTAACAAAATGCTTTGTAGATTTTCGCTACAAGCTAAGCATAAGTTTTAAAACGTTGAATATTTTTAATTGAAATTTGCTTCTAGGAAATTTACTTGGCTTAAAATAAAAGATAAAAGCCCAACTATGTTTGTCAAAGAATCGATTGACAATGGGATTTGGTGTACTTTGGAAAAGTCTTTTTGATAAAATTAATTAAAATCCTATTAGGGAAATGTGAGCGGTAGTGGGTTTCATAGGAAGATATGGAGAGGTCTTTTGTGATTGAACCTTTGAAAATTTCAAAGTATCAACATATTATTTAATCAGGGCGCCGTCATTCGTATTCTGTATTATTTCCAGGATCGTCTTGTATTTCTTTATAGAGGTATTTTGCAATAGCGTTAATATATCTATGCAATGTTTTTATGTTGAAAATATCAAACTGTAATCTTTCCCAAAGCTGTTTGTTTTGTATTTGGTTACGTTCAATATTCGGCCCAATTAAATACGGTTTTAAAATTACGCATCCAATTTCCCCGAAACTAATTGGCTCGAAAAACAAGTTTGGTCCCATTTTAAATTAATTGCTTTGAACATTTTTCAATGGACAAAATCTATAGGTATTTTTTTATGATATTGATGATATTCAATTGAATTTATATTGTGTTAAATTTTAGTGGCATGCTTCAATTAAAATTGATGAAAAGTTTTCTTGCCTCAACTAGGATTTGAAGCCAGGATCTTCGCATATCCAGTGCAATGCTCTACCAACTGAGCTACCGAGACCTGTTTCATTTCTACCTTGCCGGTCAAGTCTTTCATCAATTTTAGTTTAGTTAGTTGTGAAGACCAATGGCAACCTTCAGCGGTTACCGTTGGTTTGGAAGTGAGTTAGAAGGTGTAAGGGAAAAATTCGCAACTACTGATGCGTCGTCGACATATATATATATATATATATATATATATATATCGACGACGCATCAGTAGTTGCGAATTATATATATATATATATATATTATATATATATATATATATATATATATATATATATATATATATATATATATATATATATATATATATATATATATATATATATATATATATATATATAGCTTCATTCGATTACTGAATATATGAACAAAAAGATAGTGTTAACAACCACATATTAAAGTCTTTGTTATCTTCTGTGTGTACGCCTGTGGCTAAACAAGCCAATTCTAGGAGATATTATTCTTCCACATTCCGGACATTCATAATTTTCTCCTGGAACATTTCGACGCGGCCTATCTGGTGTGTCTTCTGTGAATGTAGCAACAACTCTCCTCCATTCGTTACGGTCCTGCGCAAGATCTTCCCAATTACCTTGAATGTTAATAGATTTCAGATTGTTGTGGAAGACATCCTTAAAACGCTTCAATTGACCACCCTGTTTGCGTCGGCCTTCCGCAAGCTCGCCATAGAGGACACATTTGGGTAGACGATTTTCGGGCATGCGAGCCACGTGACCTGCCCACCTGAGGGGGCCTTGTCCAACAATATCTGAGATGCTTTTACACTCAGCTCTCTGGAGTACTTCTATGTTTGATATTTTATGAAACCATTGTATGTGCATAATCTGACGTAGCTGTCTCTGTTGAAGAGGCTCTAGAGCTTTGATGTGTCTTCTGTATGGCACCCAGGTTTCACAGCTATATGTTAATGCTGGAATAACTATCGCTCTATACACAGCGACCTTAGTGGATATAGCAAGGTCATGATGGACAAAAACTCTGTTTCTAAGTCTCCAAAAAGCTGCAGTGGCGCTATTAATGCGATGTTGGATTTCCTCATTGATCTTTCCTTTATTGTTTACTATGCTACCAAGATAGTTGAAGTGATCTAGGTTCTCCAACGCTTTTGCTTGAATATAGATAATTGCATTTTCTTGCACTGGTCATTATCTTGGTTTTGTTAATATATATTTTCAGACCTAAAGCTTAGTAGGCCCACGTGTAGGTTTGCAGCTGTTCAGATGATTCAGCCAAACCGCAATCGTCAGCATACTGTAAATCGGTGATATTTTTCGATCTAGTCTTGCCTCTGCGCTTTTTGAGATTAAAGAGGCTTTCGTCAAATCGGTACTTAATTGCTATACCTCGAACTTTTAAATAAAAACCCTCGACCGCTTCGCAGTCTCGGGCTTTTATTAAGTTATTGTGCATTCAACTATTTTCCAAGCAAAATCATGCTCAAAATATGTTGCATAGTTTAATCGATTAAATTTAAAGGTCTTGTGATATAATATATGATTATTGCTATTATTTTGCCCATTCTGTATTTTTTTTCCAGTTAAATTGTTGAATAAAAACATTAAAAAACATGTGTAGTGCATAGTGTTGGAGTTCCCTTCGATACCCGCTACATATATATTTGGCGTCTCAACGAGTGCCTGGGGTTTTGTAGTGAACCACCACCCCAATGACTTTCTGAACCAATTTTGTGACTGTAGATCAATGAACTATAGAACGCGAGACATTATCAGTATGTGAATGTGTATTAATTGATTGAATTGTGTAAGTTTTGCCACATTCGGATATTGTACCCACAATTTCTGGAATATTCCACACAAACCGACATTACAGTTTCCTGTGTGTTCAAGTTTGTCCTCCATTTTTGTGCTGACATTACAGTTTCCTGTGTGTCCAAGTTTGTCCTCCATTTTGTACCCACATCACAGTTTCCTGTGTGTCCGTCCAAGTTTGTTCAAAGAGTTCCTACATTACAGTCGCCTGTTTGTCAGGATTTACCCGAGTTTGCTGTTTCTCAACACTACATTTCCATCACTTACCTTACTCTAAGCTGGATTTTTCTGTATATGCCTTATAATCTTCGATCGTCCCAAAAAAATCAAGACAAAATGGGTGATCCTGTTGTTCTGACGAATGAACAATTACAAACATTACTCGCTGGTATGAGAGATATGTTTCAGAATACGCCACAATCTACTTCGAACCAAAGTACAGCTGCCAATTTTTCTAAATGCGGATCAAGGTCTTCTGGAAAGCCAGACGAAGATGCTGAAGCTTTTATTGATGCCATCACTATTTACAAAAACTGTCTGTCAGTGACCATAACGCTGTAAAAGGTTTACTCACGCTACTGGATGGCGCTGCTGCAGTATGGTGGCAAGTCACCAAAAAGCCAAACATCTTATGGACTAAAGTTTTAGATATGCTACGTCATGCTTTTGGCTTTAACAAACCAGCACATCAGATTTATAGAGAACTGTTTTCTCGAGAACAAGACAGTACGGAACCAACGGTTCTTTTCGTGAATCAAGCCCGTGCACTGCTTTCAAAATAGACAACAATCACACCCTTGCCAGAGGAGCACAAGTTAGAAATGGTTTATGGACTCCTTCACCATAGAATCAGGCAAAAACTTCCTTGACATAGTTTCCAGAACTTTTCGGAGATGATCGACAAATGCAGAGCAATCGAATCCAGCCTTGCTGAATCCAACATAAAAGTGACTTCCACGTCCGTTGCAGAAAAGCCCAAAGACCGATGTGCATTTTGCAAAGCATATGGACATGTTCAAGCTGTTTGCAGAAAATTTAAAGCCAAGTCTGCTAAAAAAGCCTCGTCCACTCCTTCTGCCCTAACAGTCCGATCTAGTAACCCGTCGTCCACAAATGTAACATGTTATGGTTGCGGTAATCCAGGATATATTCGTTCCAATTGTCCTCAATATAAACCTGGATCAACAACCATTTCCTCTGTCGAAATGCTCACCGCTGATCTCGGTGAACCTTCCAGTTTGTTATCAACGTTTGATGGTCCGCCTTTAAGATCCATGATACCTGTCATCATTCAAAGTGAATCAGGTTTTGCTTTTGTGGATTCCGGAGCAAGATGCAGTATTGCAGGTTCAAAGTTGTTAAGCCACTTAGATGCTATTCGGCATCCATTCAAAACTGCACCAATAAAACTGG